GGCGTCCGGGTTGGTATGTTGCAGCTTGATAGGGCCTCATAGGGGTACCTTCTTTGGGGAAGGCGCTACACAGCTCCTGCTCAGGGTCGCGGAATTCCGTCTTTTCAGGCATACTGATTCTACTCGTCTTGAGAATTTGTCGTGTCAACTGCCTTTAATTCAGCATTCCTGTGATGACTTCCGAAATCGCGAGATGCGCCTGAAGCTAGCACTTAACATGACGTCTGATGTGATCAGAGATACTTGGGATGGGGCTCCCGCGTGAGTCAAGTTGACTGCTTCCTGAAAGATGAGAACAAAAAGGTGTTTCTCAAGGGGCGCTTCTCTGGGGAGCCAAAGATGGCTCATAGCGCACGCGAGTGAAGAACTCGCTCGTTTTCTCGAATAATGCTGCTGTCGTCAATGCTGGTTTGAGTAGTTTCCTATTCCAATCTTCAAGGTTCAAATCATCTTTCACTGGTTTGAGTTCATCACGTTCGAGCTGCGATAAGGACAGCGAAAAACTGCCAGCAATGTCACGTGAGCGGCATTCGCACCAGGAATAATATCCAGTGTTGCGATCTTAATCCAGGAAACGCCCTGTATATGTGCACGCGATGTCGCGCTCGAATGTACTGAACTACACCCTTTCCTACCTAATTGTTATATTACAGTCTCCTCGTTATTCACTGGATTTGTTTTGAGATCGTCATTCTGTCCATAGACTTTGGCCTCAACCCTTTTCAACATTTATTCATTGAATTTTATTTTAGATATCGATGCTGCCAGCACCAGGGTTTATCGCTGCCATCAGCGTCGGACTCATGGTAAGAAACTCTGATTCGTGACCCAGTCTATGTTGATCACATGGGCGGAGATAGGTTCAACCATTGTGCCCCCTCATTGGTGCGCCCTCTCTCTCCAGCTTCTCAGAAAGGAGGAGTACACCGATGAAGAAAACATAATGGCAGGCCTGACTTTGCTCGAAATTAGTGTGGACTGCGCCTTTGATAGACATCGTGATAACTAGTTGATTTTTAAAAATTTGAGCTGAATTTCAGATTTCTGGTATTGCCTCGTTGTGCTTGACAATGTTCTACTCTTTGACTTTATTAATGCGATGAGAGTGTCGATATACTGTGCCGATACGGTAAGTCATACAGTACCCGATACGGTAAGGCATTTTACGGTAATTACTGAAAAAAAACTCAAAAAAGCAAATATAATTGGTAGCATAATGTAACGGCATGCATGGTGGCAAGTTCGGCTTTGGTGGAGACATTCTTCTGGTTTCCGCCGACGCTTTGAAGACCGAGACGATCTTTTAGAGCTGTGCAGAAGCATGACTAGAAGCTTTATTTCCATACAGAGCTTACTAAAAGGGGACGTGTGATGTAATAGCAACTAACAAAAGAAACAAGTGAAAGTGCAAAATGCTACTCTCTCCGCCCCGCCCGCCCGCCCAAACATAGCAGCGTTTGCGTTTGATTACAAATATAATAGGAAATGAAATAAATGTGACAAAAGTAAACTCAATCAAACTAGATCATTGACTTGTAACACGGTCATCAGTTAAGCCTGTTTATATGCGCAATTTACGATCATTTGTGGGCGGGTCAATCACTGTTGCCCATCTGAGCCCTGCGCATTATTTCGGTCTAACTGGGTGAAAAGAATTACACAAAAAATCATTGTTGCTAACTCTCTCCGCCCAAATGATCGTTGCGGACAACGCTGTAGATGATTCGATTGTGTTGCATAAGTGCATGGGTTGAGTCTTTGAATCAGATGCCTTTTTCGAGTCAATTCCGGCGCAGTTGCCGACGGGGGGGGGTCGTTTTTGCACTTTCGTAGCATTGGCAGTGGCTTTCTGGTATATCAAAGTCCATTCTCGGTGAAACTGTGAAACTCTTGTGCAATGCGGAGCAAGCGTCGGTCAAGGCCATCATTGTACAACGTCAACTCGTAGAAGAGGCTGTTCACGATTGGTCGATCCACTCGATGGGAGTTCGGTCAAACGTGCCAAATGCTCTCCCCCCCGGCTTGCAAATAGCCCGATCAAACTTTTTTGGGATCGGCACGGCATCCTAACTTCCATTGCAACCGTTGAGTGCTGCTGAAGGCGTGGTAGCGTATAAGCTGACTTGCAAGCCGATGTACAAGTCAGTGAAGGCTGTGTTGGCATAGTTTGGGTAAATCACTTTTATGCCCGAAAACACCAGGATTTATTTTTTCAGTGTACACTGTGCATTCTCTTTGGGGATTTTCCAAAGGAAGTAGTAAGAGAACGTTCCCATGCTTTTTCAGAAACTGCTGATTCCAACCGAGATGTCGTGGTGGTTCTATGGCACATCGATCCTCTGTGTAGTACTCTCTACGTTCACTGTGATTGCCAGCATGACTTCTGGAGCTATTCAACGATTTGCCGAAAACAGCCCACAAATATTTTGCTTTTTGGTGAGTGATGCTGAGCAAATAATTCAAGCTCGAAAGTGGCCCTCGATTTGCTTGCACAGACGCTTTGTAACGTGCAATTTCGTTCTTCTTGAAATGCTATGCGGCCAACGAAGGGCATTTCTCTTGAGCTAGAAAGCGCTAAACGGAAAAAGCATCTGGGCTGTTCAATTCCAGTTTCGAAAATATGTAAATGCGCAATGCATTGTACTTCTATTAAGAATCGTTGTGGTATTTTGAGTGGGATTTGGTGTGCAGTACTCTGCAGGGCCAGCTGATGTACAAATTAGTGGTGGGTGAATCAGCCCTCCCAAAAGAATCCGTAATCAATTCACTGGTCCCGGAGGGAAGGAACTAGAGGGCCGTAATCCATTGCAGTAGGACAAACCCCATCAAGTATCGTTCATATGCATAGGAGCGGAGCAAGAGACGTGGCTGCGTGGCTGCGCGCTGTATTCCAACTCTCTTCCCCTATACGATTCTGCCCCTCTTTTGCCTGAACGCTTGTAATTGCCACGCATCTTACTGCCCTCAGACGTGGACCGTAAGTCGAACATCGAGACAATTTCCCGCACATCCAAACATCGAAACAGTCCGGTCGCCGTGTAGGATTCAGCCGTCTTACAAAAAGAGCTATCATATGCTGCCACGAGAATTTCCTTTACGACCAAACTCGAATTATTTCAGCATGGAGGATTCTTGTGCGCATCGAGCATTCTGTGTGCGTTCTGCACATTCTTGGCGATGCAGATGTCAGAAAGCGTTCGGCAAGTACGCCTTCCAGGCTCACCCGAAGCAGTTCCAAGATGCATCTCATTGGTATTTTGCCCGCCTTAGGGCTTCAGCGGTTGGTTTTTTTGCTCGTCCGATAAATTGTTAAGGATTGATTTTCTACCGTTTGGAAAAATTGAGCAGTGTTTGAGATCTCCTCTCGAGAGCCTCACATCCCCTTGAGATGTAATGGGAATCTATAGCGCACGTTGGAGATGTCAAAAATCGGTCGTTCAGTCAAGCGACTACTTTTAGTACGACCCCTATGGACCCAGGGCACGCCATCGCGTTTAGATCATTTCCTGAAAAACACGACCCCCTGATTCTCTCCTCAAATACGACCCCCTCCCCATGCTACCTACCACTTTCCTAGATTTTCCCAACTTCCTACCACTTTTCCAATTTTTCCCGGAAAATTTCCAGTTTTTCAGCCAAGAATTTTCCGTCGAGGAGGAAGGGGAATATATATCCAATGTGGAACAGGAAAATTTCTCGGATTTCCCCCTACTCCTACCAGTTTTTAGTTTTCCGAAATTTCCTTCTGGTTTTTCCCCAAAAATTTGCTGTCGAGCGGGGGGGGGTTACTCGCTAACACTTAACTA